TGTGAATTTATAACATAACCAGCGTTTGCACACATGTTACTGTTTCAAGTTTCAAATTATTATATTTTATTATCCGTAGTCTATTTGAAAGTAACCAATGCCTTCATACTCTCTTTGCTTTGGTTTCTTGTCATCAGTAGTCTGCTTGCTATTTGTGCTTTGATGTAACCTTCTCGCCTCTCGTGGCTGTAAACATGGCCCGCTGCTTCTGTGACCATTTTCACACATCTCTCCACACTTTGAGTGTGGGAAGGCCACTTCGGCACCTGCATTGGAGTCTCTTTAAGGTTTCTCAATTCTTGGCTAGTTAGACTTGTTGTCAATGGTGGCTCTAAGACTTCCAAACTCAAGTCAACCAATTCTGACAATTTGGTGGCATTGACGTTTATTGGGGAACTTTTCTTGAATGAAACGAACAGTCTCCCAACTGGTCGTCATCTATTAGCGTTCCTCTAATCTTTAGAATGACTTCTACAGCCTCGGTTCGGAGATTGGTACATTGACTGCAAAGCATTGCTTGCAAAACTGCTTCTGATCGAGCATACCAAGCGGACCTTCTTGCCACAGGTAACACGATGTCCCTCACTACCTTCCTCTGTGTTCTTACTAGCTGCAATTGAAACAAAAGGTGATTGGGCCCATCCACCCACATAGGATTAAGTTTCACACTAAACCACTGGGGAAGATAAACTCCAATAATAAATTCAACAATTAACCTCAAATTCTTCAGCACTTTGCCCTTCAATTCGTGTTTGGAAATCCAAATCCTGCAGAAACGAAGAGCTGTAGTTAACCAACGGCTGTGACTGACAGGTCCAATCTCCAAGAGAGCCAATGACTGAGGCACTTCTCCTGATCTTATTGCTTGGGCAATACGATAAGCATAGGATTGATCTGTGCTGAGATCTTTGATGACTCCTTCAGACAACGCCGGAAGGGGAGGGCCAACTTCGACCTTTGGAAAGGTTGTATTTATTTCTAGTTGTGTTGCTTCATCCAGCATGATGCCAAGGGGACCTGACCACTTGTTGTTGCTCTTTGTAGGACCATCAAGTTCCTGGATGAGATGACGAAGAGGTAGCTCGCCTGTATGTAAATCACATACAATCCAAACAAGTCTTCTTCCTAGTTTTTTCTCTAAATGCGTCATTACACCCCCCTGCCATCCGGTGTTCACTGCAGTTGAATCTCCACCAACAGCCTGCAGTGAACTGCCAAGTCCTCTCTCCTGAACCCAACATAAAATATGATCAGCAATGACCTCTGCATGTTTCTTCCCTTCTACTTCAGTTTCGGGAGCAAAGTGAAACAAAAACCGACCACCAGGCTCAAAACAGACAGAGTAGTGTTCTTCTTTGATGAGACCTGGAAACTTTCTGTTCACTCCCTCTACTTCTAGCAAAACTTTTGTGTCATCTATTCTTCCATCAAACAAAAGACAGGAGAGCCCTCCCTCGCTTAAATCTTTTTCATGCTGATCAGATATTTCCTTCATTATTTTTCTTGTGCTCTTCTAATTTTATTATGATCTATCACCAAAGATACATCCTCTCGGCTGATGAGGCCTGCATCTATCCAAGCGGCAGTTGCAATTTCTGCAGCCTCACGAAGTCCAGCATGGTGGCGAATACTAGCTAAAGCAATGTTTGAAATATTTCTTGTGTTGTATTTCATTTTCTTTGGTAAAGGTTCAGATGGCTCTTTGGAACTATCATCTGATGTTGCTTCCTGTTCATCAGAAGAACTATCAAAGAAGTGATAAACATCTTGACACAGCTCTTCCTCTCTTTGGATGGCTTCTTCACTCTTCATTTTCTTCTTTTGTTCCCTCTCTCGGATTTGTTCTCTCTTCTTGGCATTAGCAATCTGCTTCTTTGTTTCTGAATAATCTATTGAACCCATTTGCATACTTCCTTGGCCTTCTGCCTTTGTCCTCTGTGCCTTTATAAATTCAAGCTCTAAAACAGGGATCTTCTTTTCACGAGGACAACCACAATCAATGTGGGAATTATTTTCTCTCTTACCTGAGTGAGAACAGTTGGATTCAGAACATAATTGTATGGAGCACTTGCAGGTCAAAATGTCAAACAGAGTATCAAGTGTGTGCAGAAATTCATTTTTCCTGGCCAAGTTTCCTTTACCAAGTGATGTTTCAACTGCTTTGTGCCATAATTTCGTTAGTTTTAGCTCAATAGTTCGACACTGATTAATCACAGGTGGTTTGAATAGTGCATTAGCTTTTGTCCATTGATGCAGAAGAGGGACTATCATGTCATTTATGAGTTCTTTATCTGTATAGTTCCTTCTGTCCTTTGCATTTTTTTCTCGAAGGAGTAACCCTAATCTTAGCATGTCTCTCACTGTTGGAAGTTCTGATACAGGAAGCTCCTTCCCTTTACCAACTAGCAGGCTCAAGTGGGTTGACAACTGACTTCTTGTCTTCAATTTTGACATCTTCACACTATCTGACAAATAGAAAAATATTTCAATGTTTCATAATTCAATTGTTGTTTCAAAAAATATCAATTTGTTTATCAAAAATGCTGTAACAGAAATAACATAATAATTTCTTAGAACATAATGTTTTATACAATGATATAAGTAACTGCGACAATCAATATGCCCTACTTACAATAATTAAAATGTAGAATTCGTCTGGTAGAGTAGGTGCAAGTGCAATGAGAGCAAACCACCGTCTATGATATCTAGAAGGAGAGTGAGCCGGGCGCCTTATCCTCACGCTTGGTACAAGTCAAAACAAGAATTAAACTGTCCCACACGGAGAGCCTGTTCATGTTCATGTTCTGACATGCATATTGTACACAAGCTATAGAACCATAAAATACTCCATAATCCATATGCTTACATGCGATTAGTTAATATCAAGTGAATAATTCTCATCAAGTCTCATTAATTTGTTGAAATACTGATATTTGAAACTTTAAGGTATAATTGATGTAGGTGAGGGTTATTTCAATTCATTTTTGTTTGCTAATCTCAAGTTTAGACATAAAGAGGCACAATATTTTGACTACCAAATTTGATTTTTAACATGTTGACAAAATTGACACACCCTAGTGTATACACCTGCGCTTCCGGTCACTGCTATTTGTAGTGTTCTTCTCTGGACTGTAAGTTATGGTCTGATAAACAATCATTACACCTCCCGCCAAGACCAAAGCGGCAGAAATGATGACACATACTCGTATAGACAATGATCAAGGATGGGACCCCAACACTACAATCGCTGAAGATTCCCGAAGGAGCTTATGGGGTTGTATTACCACATCCTCTTCCTCTGAGCGAGTCTTCAGTACTGCTGGGAAGTTTTTCACTCCCAGCAGGGCCCAACTTGACGTGAATGCAATAGTAATGATCAAGTGTAACGATGAAGTGCTTGAAAATTTGTCTTCCATTTCGGGCTCAGCGAAATAGAAATGAAACAGTAACTTATCCTCTTCGCCACTGATCTTTGGTGGTCGGTCGTGTCTCTGTTACGCTGTACCTATGCCAGTGTTCAAGTCTAGCCACAACGCTCTCTGGCAGAGAAAATCAATTGAGATCATCTTTTTTTTCACATTTCCAACTTCCAGAAGAACTTGTTGTCAGTCTTGTGATCTCACTTATGGAACGTACGGGGTTTATATGTAACTTTTAGGAAATGTCTTCAATTTTGGATATATTTTACAGTACTAGTTAGGTTGACTAACACTGACAGTAATTGTAACTTATGTGAATTAGAACGGGAGTAATTATTGTAAATGTAATGCCATTGAACTTATGAAAGGTAATTGCGATTGTAATTTTTAATGGACATTGAAAAATAATTATAATTGTATGTGTAATTGTAACTTTGTAAGTGATCCAACCCTAATAAGAAAAGGATAAAGTACCTTAAAATACACTTCGCTTTTTATGATTTCACTCAATATCAACGTTTGGTTTTCTTTGATGAGTTGCAACAGAAGGATCATGGACTAACTGTAATAATTTCCCATTTTGTAAGTTCCCAATTAATGCTAGCTAGTTTGTCCAGCTGCTTTCTAGGCTGGATGCATAGTCTAGACTCTAGAACACTGGTAGGAGAAACGACATAATGTACAATACGTCCTGTTGAGCTACAAAGTTTATTACAACTTCATATATCTTAACAGTTTTTGTTTATTGTTAATTGTACATAGGTATCCTAACTTAACATAATCCCCGGGTAGCATTAGGGGTATTAATCGTGAGGTAATAAGAAGGAAATGCAAAAAAAAAATGAAATGCCTCAGTAGGGATAGAATTGAATTGCTGACTATATATCGTAAACTTTTAATTTTCTCTTTAAACTCGACTTGTCTTCCTGAAAATATTTGACGTTTGGGATTAGGATAATTATAGAGTTTGCATATGTATAGCTGTGTGAGGTAGGAAAGTCTTGAGGCGTTTGTTTTTGTGTCTCGTATTGTTTTTGATGACTACTGTATAATAAGAAGGGTAACCTGTGGTGTAATGGTCAGTAGGCTCGCCTCGTAAACGAGCGGACCCGGGTTCTATCCTCGTGCAGGGTGAAACTATGGGCAAGTTTCTTTTTACGCCATTTGCCTCTGTCTACCCAGCAGTAATTGGGAACCTGGATGTCAATCGTGCAGTTAGCGAGTTGTCTGGTCGTCTCTGACTATTCCTTGACACTGGGTCTTGCAACTTGTTAACTTAGGGTGTGGTTGCTGTGTTGGCAACAGCTTCTACGCCTTAAACAAATTCACGAGGGGCAACCATTACTATATTCAGAAGACGGTGGGACCCGTCACCCCCCACATCATCTCCCATGTGAGAGACAACCAAGAGTCAATGCACTATAACTGAGAGCTGGGAAGGTGGCCGAATAAGCCCTTAATAGGGGACTGACTATGCTATGTTCAAGGGAGGCCCAGAAAAGGTGTTGGTAAGGGGGGGGGGGAGTGAAGGGGCGTGTGTGTTTATGGTTATCAGCTCTTGGGACGAGGCATTAACTCGGTCTCAGTCGCCCGTTGGTGGTAGACCCAGGTCCATGCTGTTAGGTGCTCCGACCACTTACAGTAGGTAATACTATGTTGTTCCTGCTGGTCCAGGTAGGGAAATGCAGTTTGTAACTCCGCATACAAAGCAATTGTTGGGCAGCATAATATGACTTAAAGAGTTCATTAAAGGATCTATTTACGCAAATCACAGTTGTAACTATTTTAACGTGTTATTGAATAAGATCATCAATATCTACACACGTTTGCCAAGTCTTACCACACTCGCGTAACTTCCGTTTTATGCCATTTCATCACCAACCAGGGAACGCTAATGTTATTTTGCTACGTATGTAAGTGTGAAATAATTCTTTTCTTGATAGCTCGAAACATTTGTACTTAGTGTTTCACGACGATTTTGAGAAGAGGTACCGTATTTCTTGTTGTGTTGAATATTATTTTGGTGATATTCATTGTGTTTTCTGACAACTGTTCAACTGGTAATCCACTGTAATGGCAGCTCTTTATTTATTGTTTTGATTAAGAGTTCAGATTTATGTTTATATTAATTAACCCCGGTTGAGGAAGTTTGATAACTACCACATTTTAACTCACGTTTTCGTAACTAACGGCTACTTCTGTTGTAACTAACGACTACTTCTGTTGTAACTAATGGCTGCTTCTGTTATAACTAACGGCTGCTTCTGTTATAACTAACGGCTGCTTCTGTTATAACTAACGGCTGCTTCTGTTATAACTAACGGCTGCTTCTGTTATAACTAACGGCTGCTTCTGTTATAACTAACGGCTGCTTCTGTTGCAGCTAACGGCTGCTTCTGTTGTAACTAACGGCTGCTTCTGTTGAAACTAACCGCTACTTCTGTTAAACTAACGGCTACTTCTGTTGTAACTAACTACTGCTTCTCTTGTGAATAACAGCTGTTTGTTACGTGACTAACAGCAGCTTCTGTTGTGACAAATGGCTGAACTTTATATGGAAGTGGTCAAGCTAACCACAAGCGCAGATAAGAAGGGGTTGACACAAACAACAACACGTACACTGTATGTGATAATAGAAGAGATAGTAAGGAGCAGGGTTGATATTAATCTCTTATAATCAGTTTAAGGAATCAATGATTATATAAAAAAAATATTTTATTTTTAAAGTAATCTAAAAAATAAAAAGATATTTTACACTATTTTGTGTTGTATTCTCTATTGTTATTAATCATTTAAAAATCTACAATAACATACAGGTAGAGAGACAAAGTCACAACACATACGAGCAGCTCAAGATTTGTTCCTGCCTATTAAGACATGACTTGTATTGGACCTGTCCCAGCTTGGTAAATTTACATTTGTGTCATTCTTTATGTTCATGTAGGACTGATGAACTTATTGTTGTACTCAGTCTGCATTATTCATCACCTTACTAAATTAGGTAAAAAAAGTTATTAAATGTCATTATTATTTACAAATTCAATAAATAAGTTTTTCATAAAGACATTTGAGCCAAATTATATCCACAGTAAAAAAATATAAGGTAATTTTCATATATATTACATATATAAGATAATGGCTTTAAACATACTACATAGAAAAAGGCCTCCATTATTGTATAAAAGAATGAAATATGAATAATTGGGTAAAAAAATCGACTAATAAAAAATCTGATTTCAATAAATCAGAGGCATGGGTAGTCCCCTATTGGAGGTTCACGGCCCCATAAGCTCGATGAACAGGCTTTGTGTGAAATATAACAAAGTCTAAGGTGTGAGGTTGTTGATTATATATATATATATATATATATATATATATATATATATATATATATATATATATATATATATATATATATATATATATATATATATATATATATATATATATATATATATATATATATATATATATATATATATATATATATATGTGTGTGTGTGTTCTTGATGCACTTCTACAGTTTTTGAGAGCTTAAACTTGGTAGGGAGGTGCGGATTCAGTTTATAATACTGTAACTCATATTGGCAGCATAAGTTCGGAATATCTTAAGGAAAGGAAAAAATCTTCACCACGGAGGTCAAACAGGGAACCAGTAGACAACAACGGTCAAGTTAATGATCTACAGAAGGTAATCGATCTCTTCTGCTCGAGATGTGATATACCGATAATATTTTACCTGTCGATTAGTTTACTCTTGCACAAACTGCTACTGTCCTCCACACACACTTTATGTGCCTATGGTTGACGACGAGGTGAGGTGTCGACTGGTGTGGAGGCTTTGGCTGAGACAAAGTAAAGAAGAGGATGTAACCAGGCTACACCCGAGAGATACCAAGCGAACTACGCACTAGCCGAGACGACAGGCATGATGAAAAATACATAACCAGGAGTATCTGAACCAGCTCCAACTGGCATGACATGTAAGTTGTGGATTGCAATGCACATATTTACTACGCCTTATTTCTCTTATAATTTAAGTCCCCATCCCTTGACAGATATAAGATCAACGGTAAATGGCATGTTGAGACAACGTCTTTAATCACGATTACATAATTACCTACTTTATTTTTCGATAAACCAATATAACAGCCGAGATGCGATAAATACAGGTAATATTCGAAGTAGGTAATAACCGCTCTTTATCTCCAATAAGACCTGCATAAACTATCTGCTTCCTTTTCCCGTCATGGCCACTTCTAGTTGTGGACAGTTGATGGTCAGATACATAAATGGATGGTTGGGCTATGTATTTACATACCGTAAATATACTATGATGTGTGCCGTATGTTCTTTTATATCAGTCACCGTTGTAAGAGCTGTTTGGTTTTCTATTAATTTTTTTTTTTTACTGGAATTAGCCCACCCGGGCACAGGTCACTGACCCACATCGGGGCCTGGGGGGCGAAAATGTGATAATAATAATAATTCATAATAAATAAAATTTATAATAAAAAATACACAATTAAAAATAACATAATAACATACTAATGATAATTATAATAATAACAACAACTGTAATAATAATAATAATAATAATAATAATAATAATAATAATAATAATAATAATATCAAAATTGAGAAATGTTATATGTATGTTGTGTTGTCAGTGGTAAAAAGTGTAATAAGCAGCACCATATAAATAAACCAATGTCAATAGAAAGGTCTGAAGACCCAAGGGAGCAAAACAAAGATAAAAAACAATAGATAAGATGAAGTGATCTGGTTGAGCCCAGATTCTTTCTACTACTGCATTTCAATTTCACCACTTTTCTTCGATCCCTAATAATCTTCTTTCACCCCTTAACTCATGACCAATAGTAAGAGAAACAATTGAGACCCTGCTATTGTGTGTAAATGAGGCGGAAAGTCAGATCATCAACATGGGACTCGGTCACAATTTTTGTGATGCCATACGGCAGCAGGGTCTACCATTAGACAACACATTATGCCTCCAATATCTTCCCAGGCGGTAGTACCTCCCTGTTTGATCGCTGCCTATTACCTACTAGATGTGTCATTTGAAATCATTCTATTTTCTGTATTTATTGTGAATTATATTGGTTCTATGTAATTTATAATATTCTGTAATCATATAATATTATGTACTTATCCAAAAGTTTTGAGTTAATATTCTAATTGGATAAGATGTATTGTTGTTTACAAGAGAGACACTCTCTCTCCTCCACGGTGAATTGGGGGTATGGGTGTGAGATCAGGGAAGTGATTGTAATCTTGTTTCATCCATTGTATATCCTGCATTTTTACATTAATTTAGGGTGAATACTAAGTGATACTTTTGTGAATGGAGGAAGAGCCTTATTGTGAGATTAAGATTGATAATTTACTAAATCAGTTGGGCCACAAGTCCATGCAGTGTCAATGTCTGTACTCTTTGTTTTATTGTTAATATAATGGTTGTTAATTGTTATAAATTAGTATTTCTCAGTCCTAACTCAATTTGTACAGTATAAATAGTAGTTTTCCTTGGATGTTTTCTCTCTGTGTGTTTGTACTAAATGTGACCTTCAACTATCAGTCAGAGGTAGCAAGGGGTGTCTACATATCCTGGTCTGTTAACCACAGCCGTTATTTCAGAACGTGAGTCTGATTAATGGGCCTAGGAGTTTGAGCACTGCTGAAAGAGGAAGGTTATTTAGTAGTGGTCGTGACAATAGATATATGGAGTAATGGACGGATGGATGGATGGATGGAAGGGTAAACCGACATTTTTATTCAGTAAAATCATTACACAAGTTTGCGTTTGTTCAGTATGAGCGTAGTGTAAATATACAACCAAAACAACTAAGGATACAGCCCGAGAACGTCGTTAGAGCTTTTTAATCAGAAATTGTTGAATATAATGATTACTTTTCGGTTTGTCTCTACAGCAACAAAAAACACCAAGGACCTGACACACACACACACACACATACACAATCATGACTGACGTTGGAGGATCCCAGTTTGAGTTGCTGGAGAGGAAGCAAAAGCCCGCTCACCTCACCCAGTACTTAGCTACCATCACAGGTAAACCTACTTTTTGTTTCCGTGAGTACAGGCATATTTTATGCTTCGTCATGTTTTTTATACACAAATAGGTAAATTTGTGTGTTTTTTGTATTCAAGGCTGGTTGTCGCATTGGCTATTTTTCCATGTGTCCGATTAATTATCTTCAAATCGTTTCAGATATTTATTTTTCTACTTTGCTGCACATTTAATTATGGGAGAGATGCGAGTATGTTTAGTTTGCTTTATTAAAAAGTTCAATGGAGGGGTGGGGGTGGGTGGAGACAGAACAGCTCGCTCGTTGTCTCTCACACGCGCCTCTAAAGGTGTGTGGGGAGCGAGAGAAATTCACTGTTACCCTTGAAAGGATGGTTAAACAGTACTGCAATTTAAGAGATTGGCTTCACCTTTACGGTATTGTAAGAGGTGTTCACCCTCCGGAAGTATTGTAGAAAATTATGCACGTTCTAATACCAAACTCCCTCCTCTGACAGTCACTCTGGGAGCACTAAATATTGGTACAGCCATGGGGTACACGTCACCCGCCAGCCCCCAGCTTATGAACAACTCCACCAACTCTTCTCTTGTTATCACGACGGAACAAAACATCTGGTTCACCTCCACTATAAACCTGGGAGCCCTCACCGGGGGTCTCCTTGGTGGGGTGTTTATCAACACTCTGGGCAGAAGAGGCACCATGTTGGCATCGGTGTTGCCTCTCTTGGGGTCCTGGGCACTCTTAGGTGAGTTACATCTTTGTAGACTGTGTGTGTACGTGCGCGCGCGTGTGTGTGTGTGTGTGTGTGTGTGTGTGTGTGTTTGTGTGTGTGTGTGTGTGTGTGTGTGTGCGTGCGCGTGCGTGCGTGCGTGCGTGCGTGCGTGCGTGCACACGAGTATTTCAGCCAAATTCTTCCTAATCTCGCCTTAACTTATCGCTACTGCAAAACCTTAACCGCCTCCATCCTCCTCCTCCTCTTACTCTTCCTCCATTTATCCTCGTTATGCATTGATTGATCTTTACCGTGACTGACCTTTGACCAGTTAATTCTTAGGGAAGGTCAGAGTTAAAGCCGACCTCTGATAAGTGGTAATTGAATTTGTCAAAGACAATAAATTGTTTCCAAGAAGCCTAAAGTGATGCGGTGTGCATGTTTTAGTTCTGAGGCGAGTGTTGTATACCTCCTCTCTTAGTCTTGTGTATGTGTGTGTACATACATACAAACATACTACTTTGCTGTTACTCAGATTCGAGTATGATGATCACCCAGCTATGATAAAATGATAGGAGTTATTAAGGATGTCATCTTCGTTGGTGGGCTTTAAGGTGACTAGAGAGGCCGATACAGCACTGGCAGGGTAGGTCACTAATGTTGCACATGTGGAGGGCTACATCTAGTGTGGGGGTCTTTCCACCATTGGCGCTTGTCTGCCTCAGTATGCAGTCGGGTTAACTTGAAAGTATTCACACCTTCTCGTGTGGTGCTCCTCCAAGCATTAAGGTGTGGAGTAATCGTCTCCCAGGTGAGGGGGTCGATTTGGCATTATTTCAGGTTTGTTTTAAGACTATCCTTATACCTTTTCAGTTGCGTGCCAGTGTTATGTTTACCATTCGTGAGGTGACTGTGAAGTAGCTGCTTTGGCAGTCTACTGCCGTCCATGCGGGTAACATGGCTAGTCCAACGTAGTTTTTCCTGGATAATGGTAGCCTCGATGCTCCTACAGTTGGTGTCAGCAAGAATACTGGCATTTATTCTCTTGTCTTCCCAGCGAACTCGGAGGATGTAACGTAGACGACGATGGTGAAAGTTTTCAAGTGCCTTGAGGTGCCTCCTGTATGTGACTCATGTCTCGCTGCCATATAGCAGGGTGGGGAGGACCACTGCTCGATATACGTACAACTTTGTAAATAATTTCAGCTCCCTACAGCTGAAGACACGGATACTAACGGAGTCTGCCAAAGTGCTCGAGATGTTCATCTGATCCGATGTTGAATCTGTACATCGATGTCCATGGTGGTGGACAGGTGGGAACCGAGATACTGAAAGTGGGTAACATTAGAGAGAGGGTAGTACCATTAAGCTGGATAGATGGTGGAGGTGGGGCTGAACCAGGGGCAGGGTGATATAAATTCTGAATCTTACATACATTTACCTCGAGGCCGAAGTGTGCATAAGCAACTGCGTTTTTGTTCAGGATCTCCTGTAAGTGAGGAGAGGTCGTCTGCATACTGAAGTTCAGTAATGGAAGCTGCAGACACCTTTGTTCCTGCCTGGAGTCGTCTTCTGTTGAAAAGACCCTTCATCCGGTACTGGATGCCCACCTCGCTGGCTAAATTAGCACTGGCACGAGTAAGGAAGGCGGCCAAGAAAATGGAAGAGAGAATTGGTGCCAGTACACATCATTGTTTTACCCCCATTTGGATGGGGAAGAACTCAGCCTGGGTGCCATTGTGTAGGACGCTGCCATTCATGCCATCGTGGAGTTGTCTCACAATGGCAATGAATTTTGGTGTGCAGCCAAAACGGCTGAGGTTCCGCCAGAGGGCTTCCCTGTTGACTGAGTCGAAGTTCTTGGTTAGCTAAATTAACTGTTTCAATTCAATTCAATTCAGTTCGATGAAGGCCATGTACAGGTCACGACGCTGTTCTCTGCACTGTTCCTGTATCTGGCAGGCAGCAAAGATTATGTAAGTGGTGCCACGTGATGGTCTAAAGCCACATTGAGATTCTGGCAGGAAGTTTCCACCTCAGGATGAAGTCTGTTTAGGAAGACTTTGGCAATAATTTTGCCAGCTACGGAAAGCAGCGGGATCCCGTGGTAGTTGCCACAGGCTGACCGGTCTCCCTTGTTCTTATGAATATTGTCAATGAAAGTGCCTTTAAGAGCTTGGGAGATTTTCTTCTTTTCCCATATATTCTGCAGGAGAGAGTGTAGATGGCTGGTAAGCAGAGGTCCTCCTTCTTTATACACCTCGGCTGGGATTCCATCAGACCCTGAGGCTTTGTTATATTTCATCTGTTTGATGGCAATAGCTATCCAGTGATTATAGGATAGCTGAAGTGAGTTAGCTGTGGATGCTGAGGGACCTGCTGGGTAGTCAGGACATCCACATCAGTGTTTCGGTTGAGCAGCGAATGGTAGTGCTCTTTCCAGCGATGGAGGATGCCTTCTTCGTCTTTAATTAGGGAGTTACCATCGGATGAGCGGAGGGGGGCTGCACCTTTTCTAGCCCCCTTCCCATGTGGGGTGAGCAGAGTGGCTCCTCGAAAAGGCTGCTCAGTAACACAGACAGGACTGGATTGCACTGCTGCCTAGATCCCAGTGCATAAATGACCATCTTATCTATGCCACCCATGTGCAGAGTTGTGACAAAGGGACTCCTTCGTCGCCTCTAGTCCGTCGCCATAGGACTTTTGGGGGTATAGGGGTTTTGATGATGATGAGAAGTATGGTGAGCTGTGCTTGAGTTGATTTATGTGGTGAGGCAGGAGCACAGACTGCAGCTACACACCTTGGCTCCCCCTTTTCCTATTTCTGTGGTGCCAGTGTTGCAACGACTGGGGAGAGGGAGAGTTGCAGTGTACTGCCGATATCCCAGTTTGTTGGGTTTTGCCTTAGTAGGCAGTCCATCATGCATTGCCTTCGTCCGCCGGTGTAGTCAATGGGTTCCCTTGGTGGTCACCTCTTCTGGCAGTGACTGAGCTTTCAAAGGCAAGAATTAACCTGACGTCAAGTACTAAGAATGGCAGTGTACTGTGGGCAGGTAACTGAGATTTTCTGCTATATTCCATCGATAAGTAGGAGTTTTATTTACATTTCAGCCGACAATGTATTTTCTATAATACAGAATTGACAACAATTTCTATACTCCCATCGGATTCTCTGATGTTCATAGATCAAAAAAATATGGCTTGAGTTTTGAATTGCTATCGCATAAGTACACACGAAACATAATGATTTAAAGCTGGTGGGTGGGTACTCAAAACATAACCTCTTAACACGCTATACTCTACACATAAAGATATATGATGCCTTCAACATATACTCATCTCACCCAGAATACTTTCTCTCACGGTAGGTATACATCCTTGACTGTACAATAAATGCATTTACTCTCAATTTCAAATTCCTGATCACCATATTAGGTATTAAGAAATATCCGAGTCCCTTAGGCAGTACAAGAGAGAAAACGGAGGACTAACACGCCCTGAAGTGGGGGGGGAGGGGGAACGGACGTCTCCACTGGTTTCACACATGTTTTGTGGGCGGTGTAGCATAATATGAATAATTAAGTGTTGAGCAGACTAGCCACGCTATCGTGACCCAAGAACTTCAGCTCATTGTCAACATACACACCCAGGTCCTTTTCACATTCAGTCTCTATTAATGCAGTTTGTTCGTCCTGTTGAGACATTGTATGCACCTCCTTACTGTTGGTACAACCTAGGTGCTTCCTCTTACAGTTCGTGACGTTGAATCTTAGCACCCATTTCTTTAACCATTCTTGAAGCTCACAGAGATCTTTCTGTAGCTCTGGTTCATAATTTCCCTGAATAACTTGACATCGTCCGTAGACATTTGTATGGAGGAGTGTATAGCTTGGTTATGGTTACTGCGGTTGTAGTAAATATAATGAGGGGGATTTAGTAGAAAGTATAGATGGAATATTTAATTGTAGGATTGTAAAGTGAGGAAGTTTGGTAGCGTGGCCGGTTAGTTATTCTGAACACCGCTTTTAATACAACTATTTATTATTCAACTGAATGGCATGGACACATTAATAGCACATTATATCGAAGTTACTAGAACATTATATTTACGTTACTACACACTGATTCTCGGACACAAACATAAAATGGATACCATCCCACCGTAAGTAACTCGCCCTAGGGACCGCTCTGACAAAGACTCAAGCGTGACCTGAGGGAGGCCCAGCAGGTGCTGTTGAAGGGAGTGCTGGACAATGTCTCCTGTGGGAGACTCTGCTAACTGGAGACGCGTGCTGGGGAGGGAAATCTCCCTCTGCTCCGAATGCTAACTGACCCTCGATGTGAATGCTCGAGGAGGGAGCTGCAGGGCCTATATATTGGCGGTCACCAACCGGCAAATGACCTCTCCCAATCAACACTAGACTGGGTGTGTCTAGACTGGTGTACTGGCTGGAGGGGTTGCTTCTTGAGTCACACGGTCATGTCGCAGGGTTAAGCTAATCGCTTGGCAGTAAGAACTCTGGGTCAATGTGCCGTATCAGCCTCTTGAGTTACCTCAGAGCTCACTAAGGAATGACATAAAAAATAACGCATCATTGTATCGTATCTGGATGATGATGATACTCGATTTAAAGTGAAATCAAAGTAATAATAGTAATACCGTAGTACAGTATTAGTATTAGTGTGTTCGGGTAGTTGCTTCTAGTGATCCTTTACAGGTGAGCCACAAAAGTTTTCGCTACTGGATAATATACAGTGAGATTTAGGAGATACCTGACACTGCCCTGAACACTTTGTAGATATATAATAATTTAGAAATTTATAAAAACATTTCTAGTTTTATTTACATAAATAATTATAATTTGCAGGTCGGGATGACCCAGTGACTTTCTCGTCAGTGAGGGATGTTGGTAGTTATCTTCACAGTTACCACCCAAGTATTTTCTCGGTTTGACGAACTAATTCAAGCCACCCCTTTCCGTTCAATCGAAATTTCCGCTAAATCGAATTTCCGCTATTTTCACTCGATTAAGCAAACTAGTTCGCTAAATCGAGTGCAGCTATTAATTGGAAAAAGTTTGGAAATAACAGAAAATTTGAAAACAAACACCGAACCCCCTAGTTTAAGGTAAGCCATTAATAGTGTTTCTAATGTTTCTATGTACATATCATGTGTCTGAGGTGTCTCTGTAGGTGTGAGCGTATTAATGGAATTAATCTTGATTTAGCGAACTAGTTCACTTAATCGAGTGAAAAATAACTGAAAAATTCCTTCCGCTAAATCGAGTTCATTATATCGGATTCCGTTAAATCGAGAGTATACCGTACTTGTGGTTCGAGCTGTTAATTGAACACAGCTGAATATTATTAATTGCAAAGCACCAAAAATCTTTTTGAAAAATTAATTTGAGCTTTGTATTTTCATACAGTGCTTTTGGGGTTTTTTCTCATATCATCATCACAGCATGATCTTTAGTTTAAACCCAGTACCTGTAAGTTGGTTCTTATGTATTACTTTTTCAGTAAGAATTCTCTTGATAATCATTCAAAATAAATATCGTGCAGTCTTCGCCCAGAACTTCGCCATGTTGGTATGTGGACGCGTTCTTGTTGGTCTGTGTGCTGGCGTCACCTCTATAGCGGTGCCCACCTACATTGGGGAATTTTCCTCGCCAGACATCAGAGGAAAACTGGGTAAGCTGAACACTGGGTCTCTTGATCTTGGCACTGACCTGCCACTAATATGAAAGTACTGTATTAGTATTCTATGTTTCATATTTACTTTGCTGAAATGAATAGTTTTATGTTAATGGCTATTAAGTTATACTATCTTGTCTGAAGTCCATCATAATGTTCATTGTGACCAATGGTCTTCCCAGGTACGTGCTTTCAGCTAATGGCTGTGATTGGTATGTTGTACTCCTTCGTGTTTGGAGCCGTAATGAACACGTGGCGGGGCCTAGCTGGTATCTGTGCTATTCCTCCTGTCATATATCTCGTCTTGGTCTTATTCGCGAAAGAATCACCTACTTATCTTCTCTCTAAAGGAAAAGAAAAAGAAGCCAAAGAAGCCTTGCAGTACTTCAGGGGTGAGCAATGACTGCATCTCATCTGTAACGTTGAACATTCGATTTTTTTTTTTTTACAAACTTTTATTTGCATGTGAACAACATCTACTTTGGCACATACTATTTTCATAACTTAAGCAGATAGTAATGCACGCTAACCTGTTGGTACTGTACTTTCTCAGGGAAACATTATGACGTGGAGCCAGAGATGCAACTGATGAGAAAGACACAGGAGGAGGCTCTACAGAACACAGTGTCTCTGAATGAACTTAAGACTCCCTACATCCTCAAGCCCCTCCTCATCTCCTGCACCCTCATGATCTTCCAGCAGATCTCTGGCATTAATGCTATGCTCTTTAACCTGTCCGTCATATTTGAGGTATGCCTTCAGCAGCAAGTTTATTCTAGAGTTAATTTCTGTATTTAAACAACTCATGCGCAGTAAAATCTTCCAAGTTACTAAACATTGGGATCATTAACTGAAGCTGTTTCCTAAAATAAAACCTGCCATTCAGTACTTCAGAGAGTTTGTATTTTACTAGAAAATTTAAAATCGGCTTGAGGTAATTTACTGAGGCACCACCACTCCCGTACCTTCCTCGACCATGCCATTAGAGCAATTTTGTGTCCTCTAAATCAAATTTTCCAATTATCAATGACATACAAACAACTAAAAGGTAGTGTATTCACAGTTCCTTTAAGAAATGTTGAATGCCTTAAATGATTCATTGTCACCTGAGAGAGCTTGATAACTTTACCATGACAGATGTTAGTTAGGACCTGAGAAAGCTTAGTAACTCTACTGTGACAGATGTTAGGAGTAGGATATAAGTATACTCCCTTACTCTCCACAACAATAGCATGTAGGATATCAGAAGACAGTTGGATGTTTTAATTAAGTCCTTCAGCCAGACTGTATTGGTTACTGCAGGATGCTGGGTCTGGTCTGCCAGAGGAAGTCAGTACTATCATCGTGGGTGTAGTGCTGGTGTTGGCCACAGCTGTCGCTAGCATCCTCATGGACAAGGTTGGCAGGAAGGTGCTCCTCATCATTTCATCTGCCATCATGACACTTGCATTAGGTCAGCAAAATAGAATTAGTCCTTTGTAAATGACCAAGCATCCTTACCTTAGTCTTACAAGGACGTTAATAATCAGGAGAATATTTCTCGATACACTCGGTCAAGTTGACAAATGATAACTAATATATTGGTGGATATATTTTAAGGAAAGTCATTAAAGTTTAAATTAATTAATAATTAACATAATCCATGACCTGGGTCAACCAAAAGCTTCTTATATAAATACTAATTACAGACAATTTGTAATTCTCTTAATTTTAACAGTTAGCAGTCATTACTAATAGCTTTATAATGATATGACTACAGCCATTACTATTACAGTAGCTTTATAATGATATGACTACAGTCTTTACTAATAGCTTTATAATGATATGACTACAGTCTTTACTAATAGCTTTATAAGGATATGACTACAGGTCGACCACTGATTTTACGGCACCATTGGGGCTGGATCGATGCCGGACCAGCAATTTTACCGAACCATGAGTGGTCATGGCCTTGGGGGAGCTACCACTCCTGTAACCTCCGCCCCAATAGTTATACACCTCAGGCTAACTCGAAAGCACTCAGGGCTGCTAAAAAATCAATATGACATACCTTTAGCTAAATGAAAATTAAATGAAAAACAGGTACTCTTTCAAGTTATGGAGATTTATTGTTTACCTACATAAACTGCTGCATTACTTCTGCTCCCAAACATGTGAGTTGGAATTTAGAGGTGATTATATTATATTTCTGGAAGTGGGGGACTGTATGGATTATCTTCTTCAACTTGGAACACCACTGTACAGTACACTATGCCCTTGTTAATTCGACAAGAAAGAGGCTGTGGGTCACTCGAATTACTGGCAATTTCCGAATTTTTGTGTTCAAATATTCTTTTGTTTTCTATTCAGTTTTTTTGCCTTGCCTTGGCTGCCATTTTTTAGGAAAGTCTTCGAGGTAGTAGATAATGACGAAAATTACGATGTTATTTACTTAGAATTTAGCAAAGCGTTTGACAGAGTACCGCATCAGAGGCTTCTGAGAAAAGTTAAGGCTCATGGTATCAAGGGGAAAGTTTTAAATTGGATAAAATCATGGCTCACCGATAGAACGCAGATGGTCAGCGTAGATGGTGTTAAATCTGAGTGGGGCTGTGTAACCAGTGGGGTTCCCCAGGGGTCAGTATTGGGCCCACTCTTGTTCATAATCTGCATAAACGACCTAGATACTGGGATCAGCAGTGGCATAAGCAAGTTTGTGGATGACACCAAATAGGGCGGCAGATTAATTCAGGGCAGGATGCAAATGTACTACAGCAAGTGCAGCGTACTTAATATTGGAAGAACAAATACTGTCAATGTATACAGCCTTAATAACATCAACCTAGAGAAGTCGACTTGTGAAAGAGACTTAGGGGTATTTGTAAGCCCGAACCTACGGCCCAGAAAACAGTGCGTTAATGTTCGAAATACGGCAAACAGAGTATTAGGTTTTATATCTAGAAGTGTAAGTAATAAGAGTGCAGATGTCTTATTGCAACTATATCTTGCACTAGTAGGCCGCACCTCGATTATGCGGTTCAGTTCTGGTGCCCTTATTATAGAATGGATATCAATTCACTGGAGTCGGTGCAGCGAAGAATGACGAAAATGATTCCGGGACTTAGAAACCTTCCATATCAAGATAGGTTAAAGAAACTAAACTTGCATTCCTTAGAAAGACGAAGAGTGCGGGGAGATGTGATAGAAGTATTTAAGTAGGTGAAAGGAATCAATAAAGGAGATATAGATAAAATTCTTATAATATCCGAGCAGGATAGGACTCGTAGCAACGGATTTAAGTTGGAGAAGTTTAGGTTTAAGAGGGAGATAGGAAGGAACTGGTTCACAAATAGGGTGGTGGACGAGTGGAACAAGCTTAGCAACTTTGTAGTAAGTGCTGGAACGCTGGAAAGTTTTAAAAGGAGGCTAGATAGATTCATGGATGATAAAGAGTGGTAGTAACCCTCGACAGGAGCTGCCATGCACTGGCCAACCGGCCTATTGCAGACTCCTAATTTTCTTATGTTCTTATGTTCTAAATAATAGATAAACATAACTCGGTACGGTAACGTGACGTGACAAGGCACTTACACAGCAAACATATTAACAGCATTACTAAAACATTTTAATTTCTAATTTCTATTTTAAAATTAATTTATACATGATAGCTCAATTTGGCTACGTTTGCACTTAGATAACTAATCAGTGAATAAACCAGGGCATATGGAGATGCATTATACACTACAATAATATTTACTGTATTAATTTCTGATAAATATGCTACAATATTATTTACTTAATGCTCAAGACAGATCCTGTAGAAAGCACCAGCCCTCTTGAGCAGTGACAACAATGGTGCTTGAGTGATGATGATTGCTGACACCATTATTAGAGACCGCGGTGTCAGTGAAACCGATCACCTGTTACCGCTTTGTAAAGAGACTGGGAATATACAAGATACTACAGTGCAATAGCTCATCTGGGATTGTGTGAGAGATTTTTGGCGGGGGTGGGGGGGGGATATTGATTATTTTTCGATAATGTTTTATTAACCCAACACTAAATGAGCCTATAAGAATTATGGTGAAATTGTATACTATTATAAAGGGATCATGGGTTGACAAGCACGGGAGGTGAGTTGCCCTCCCCTGCCTCCCTTCTTCTCTGCCACCTGCCAGTTCCTCTCCTGGGCTACATACCCAAACATAGTTTTGTACAGTATCTTAATATAATTTATATAATATTCCTATAATTCATTCATCTTCAACAGTAATAAAACACGGTATTTACCAATTACACTTTCCAAATTAGATGATTTCCCACCAATCACATTTCAGGATGCTATCATTCTGCCAAATTCTAAAATATATATGCTAGGCCTCGCCATATCCCCTAATATGTCATGGAAGCCACACGTCCACAACATTGCTAAAGCTGCCTCCCGAAAGCTGGAAATGCTGTACAGATGCCTTAGCTACTCCACTCCTGAGCAGTTGCTTCAAGTTTATAAGGGATTCGTTCGTCCTAACTTGGAGTACTGCTCTCATATCTGGGGTGGCTCTCCTGTCAAATTGTTGGATAGCGTAGAATCAAAGGCATTTTGTTTTATTGACTCCCCCTTTAGTTTATAATATTTTTTCCCTTTCTTTTCTCTGCAATGTTGCTTCACTCTCTTTACAGGTATTTTAACGGGCAATGTTCGGTGAATTTGGCATCCTGTGTACCGCTGGCAAGGCTGTGGGCTCATAACACTCGTCTTGCCCGCGGTGCCCACCGTTTCTCTGTGGATGTCGGTCACACTAGAATAACCCGTTATAGTATATTTTTCTTTCTCCACACAGCCTAACTGTGGAATGCTCTGCCTTTTTCTTTAGTTTAACAAATTTATTGACAAAGATTGTAGTACAGTTTGCCTATTCTGAGTAATTCAGTCAGGTCTTGGCACTGAGGGTGGTATCACTTCTCACTGCCACGCAGGACAGAGGTTCATACACAAAGAAATACATCATATTCATTAACAGCTATAAATGTATAGAGGTCAGATTCATATGGGTAATGTCATTGTTCACTGCCATGCAGGGCAGAGGTTCGTACACAAAGAGATGCATCATATTCATTGACAGTACATATACATATATGTACACACACACATACACATATTCATACATATACATATATACATACACATATACATGTACATATATATACACATATGCACACATACATACAGTACATACATATACGTCGGTCAGATTCATGTGGGTAATGCTACTGTTCACTGCCATGCAGGACAGAGGTTCGTACACAAAGAAGGAAATACATCATATTCATTAGCAGTATATATAGGTCAGTGGATCACATACATTGGAGTCATATTCTAGTTGAAGACTAATCAGTGTGGGCTAGCAAATTTGGGATAAACAGCAAGAATGTCCTCAAGCACACCTGATTCAATGAAGTAGTTACATAGTTCAAGATACAATAAGTCAGGTGCCCTGAAGTCTTTGACAGTGTCACATTCAATAATATAGTGTTCAAGTGTATGCTTTAAAGGATTATCACAAAGTTTACATGCTGAGTGTTCCGGTATGGGTACAGCGTTACTAACTTGCCAGATGTGTCTGTATCCTAGCCTAATTCTGGCCACGACTACATCACATTGTCTGGTTCTGTCCTTATGCTCTGTGTTTCCATATTCATACAATCTGTCTCACTTCAAAAGGGTGATTTTCCGACATCTTCGTGGTTTAGATTAATATAATCTTTTTCTTTTCTATTTTTAATTTCCTTTTACTCTAATTTTTTCGCCCCTTAGGCCCCGTTGTGGGTCGATCACCTGAGCCCGGGTGGGCTATTCCCCTAAAAAAAAAAAAAACACGAAACAGATAGAGCCGACCCTAACACCCTAAATAGCGGCATGTGTGCCAAGCTGGACAATTTTGTAATTAAGAAGATTTGTGATCAGGTGAGAAGGCCGGGTCACTTGACCATCTGACCTGACCACCAACCGTTGTGTGCTATTTAAAGATTAGTAGGGTTATTACCTAATACCTGACCATTGTGGACCTGGTCTCACCCTCCTCTGTATATATACACCTTGATTTGTATTACTCTCTCTAGTCTGTACTCACCCCTGAAGATGTGAATTACACGAAAGCGCTTGGGAACTTCGTGTTTTCTTCTTTCCTTGTGGTTATCAGCATATACCTAGATCACGCGCACCTACAGTGATTTACTTATACAGGTATATAATTATATATATATATATATATATATATATATATATATATATATATATATATATATATATATATATATATATATATATATATATATATATATATATATATATATATATATATACTTCATTTTTCGTCCATATAACACGCGGACTTTGAACATATAATCAACGACCTCACCAGCAAGGAATCGAACCCTCGACCTACTGGGTGTGACTAGGACACTAAAAGCAGTTCTAGACTGTTATATTTCACACAAAGCCTGTTCATCGAGCTGATGGCGCCGTGAACCTCAATGGGAAACTGCCCGTGCCTCTTATGTGGTGTCAGTAGCATTTTACCGAATCCAGCTGGTATGAAACGCGAGGTACATATATATACTTCATTTTTCGTCCATATAACACGCGGACTTTGAACATATAATCAACGACCTCACCAGCAAGGAATCGAACCCTCGACCTACTGGGTGTGACTAGGGAACGCTTACCGGCTAGGCCACAAGGACACTAAAAGCAGCTCTAGACTCTGTTATCTTTCACACAAAGCCTGTTCATCGAGCTGATGGCGCCGTGAACCTCAATGGGAAACTGCCCGTGCCTCTTATGTGGTGTCAGTAGCATTTTACCGAATCCAGCTGGTATGAAACGCGAGGTACATATATATACTTCATTTTTAGTCCATATAACACGCGGACTTTGAACATATAATCAACGACCTCACCAGCAAGGAATCGAACCCTCGACCTACTGCGTGTGACTAGGGAACGCTTACCGGCTAGGCCACAAGGACACTAAAAGCAGTTCTAGACTCTGTTATATTTCACACAAAGCCTGTTCATCGAGCTGATGGCGCCGTGAACCTCATTGGGAAACTGCCCGTGCCTCTTATGTGGTGTCAGTAGCATTTTACCGAATCCAGCTGGTATGAAATGCGAGGTACATATATATACTTCATTTTTAGTCCATATAACACGCGGACTTTGAACATATAATCAACGACCTCACCAGCAAGGAATCGAACCCTCGCCCTACTGGGCGCCATCAGTTCGATGAACAGGCTTTGTGTGAAATATAACAGAGTCTAGAACTGCTTTTAGTGTCCTTGTGGCCTAGCCGGTAAGCGTTCCCTAGTCCCACCCAGTAGGTCGAGGGTTCGATTCCTTGCTGGTGAGGTCGTTGATTATATATATATATATATATATATGTGTGTGTGTGTATTTTTTTTATGTAGTAGGTAGTAGGCAGGTATCAATCTGGGAGGTACTACTACCTGGGAAGATATTGGAAGCATAATGTATTGTCTAATGGTAGACTCTGCTGCCATTGGCATCACGAAAAATTGTGACCAAGTCCCAGGTTGCTGATCTGACTTTCAGCTTACCCTCTGACCTGACTACCTACGGCTGCGGTGCTTTGAAGATTAATAGGGTCATTACCTATACCTGACCATTGTGAACTTGATCTCACCCTTCCTTGTATATATATATATATATATATATATATATATATATATATATATATATATATATATATATATATATATATATATATATATATATATATATATATATATATATAACTTGTTCTGTACTTCTCCTTAGTTTGTACTCACCCCTGAAGATGTGAATTACACGAAAGCGATTGGGAACTTCGTGTTTTCATTTTCCTTGTGGTTTTCAGCATATACCTGGATCACGCGCACCTACAGTGATTTACTTGCATATATATATGCATATATATATATATATATATATATATATATATATATATATATATATATATATATATATATATATATATATATATATATATATATATATATATATATTTATATATATATATTTATATATATATTACTAATAAATCTGACTAACATGTGGAACATAACACTTTATATTACAGGGTACCTCGTCCAGGTGCTGTCATACACAGCATATATACCAAAGGACTCACCAATACTCTTCATTGCACTATTTCTACTTCAATCTGTTGAAATTTCAATTCATCTTCCTCATAAAATTTTATACCCTTCTATCATTCGCATATACCCAGTGGCTCTTGATGTGTACTTCTATGAGAAATACTGGAATAAGGATTGGGCGGTACTCAACCTGGGCTGGCTTCCGCTCGTCTCCTTCATCGTCTTCGTAACAGCTTTCTCCATTGGTTATGGTCCCATCCCTTGGCTCATGATGGGTAGGTGAAGATGCAAAATTATGATATTTAAGAAACACGCAATTATATATATATATATATATATATATATATATATATATATATATATATATATATATATATATATATATATATATATATATATAGTGTAGATCCACAATGAAAACGTGGATAAGATAAATCTTGATAAAAAAAAAAATATATATATATATATATATATATATATATATATATATATATATATATATATATGTATGTTAGCGGGAAGGAAAAAAAGAGAAGAGTAGACGGAAATGCTGCATTTAGCTTGTTGCAGGTGTGACTTGAAGTTCTTAGAAAAATTTTTTTAGGGGGGTAGTATGCATGTTTTCTCAGCACATGAGGACAGTCCTGTCTTTTTTTAAGGGGGTCGATTGTAATATTCAGAAACTTCAGTGTAGTTTCAAACGCCGCGCCATTGGCGATGCTGAGTTCAAGGTCGTCTGAGGGAAGACCGCTCTCCCGCTACGTGCGAGAGTTTGTGGAACTAGGCCTATACGATATTGAATGTAGTTTACCGAATTAATAATGATGCGATTCATGAAGTTAAGGGACTATTATTGAATTTGAAATTATTATAGATCGTTTACCTGTCTGAATAATGTTACGGGTGTCCCAAGAAAGTTATTAGTTAGGCAGAAAATATGTCACTAGGCCTAAGCTAGCGCCTTGGAGAGACGCCAGGCTGGCTGGTCCTCAGTCATGTGAAAGCGATCGGACCCACAGGACGTCCCTGCGAGTCCATCCACAGAAATAATCACGTGGTTTAGTCACCTGTGTTGCGCTATTGCAGTATAACAAGTAAGTCTCATTCGATCTCAGATAGGGGTTAGATAGGGCAGTGATAAAGTTATTAAGAGCTAACAGTGAGTCAATTTCAGGGTTTCCCTCAGAACCCACTTGACTGCGAGAGATTGACTGCCGTTGATGATTGAAGATTGGCGATTGTCGTCGTTGGAACGATCAGTGTAGGCTTGTCACTGGTTAGCGGGGTAGCAAAGGATCTCTTGAGTGAACCAGTGCTCCCGACAACTAAAACGACACGGGACCAGCATCAGCATTGGGTGATCAGTTCTTACCACGTGGGTGCTCAACACCACGTGCCCTCGGTCAGCTAGAAGTATTACCTACTGGCCATGGTCACCTGCAGGCGTTCTCTCTTCCCGCCCATGGACGCACTGAGAGTACACCGAGGCTATCTCAGTAAATTAATGGTCACACACTGAGACCAGGAGTCTAGGGGATACCTAGAGGAACATTTTATCTCCCCTATTACGGGTGTAGGTTGAGTTGGGTGGAGCATGGTTCACGGGTATTGGTGGACCCAGTAACATCTCAATAATAGTGACAATATATTTGTGTGTAGTTAATTCCATTTTTCAGTTACTGATATTATCTTGACGTGTGTAGTAATAGTTCCTAAATGATTTTGATAGTATTGTTTTTTTAATGTTTGTGTCACTAAGTGGAACCAGAGTGATACTGTGATTTAATTCCTTTAATGCATCTAATTTTTCTCTATAATTCCGATCTCGGGTATAACCTTTGTTCCCCAGAGTAGTGGTTAAGTTAGGTTAGGAATTGTGCATCTGTTGGGGTGATATAATTTTGTTGAGTGCCCTTAAAGCCTATTCATTGTAGAGTTATTAATTTCTTATTTTTCTAATACCATTTTCTCAGTGCTGGATATTATTTTGTTGAAAACCCTTAAGGCCTGTTTCATGTGTGCAAGCAACATTTCCTAATACTTTAAACTTATTGTTCTCTAATGAGGCATTGCCTGAGTTTCTAATAATTTCAACACCATGTATAACTCTTATTCCCCAGAGTAGTGTTTTAAGTTCAGGTTAAGAGGTGCGCATATTGGTGTACCATTATTGATTGTGTTTGTAGTGTTGGAGGGAATATAAGTGTAAATTTTGCAGTGTGTCTCGTTCATCCCAGTCACAGACGCTATCCTTCCACGGGTCACGGACAATTTATTTTGTTTAGTAGATTTAAGTGTTCTTGTGCTGGTTCGGGATTTTTCTCAAAGGGGCGCTTCCACTGCAATTACCATCTAATAATCTTTAATAAACCCCAAGTCAAGTGAGAAATTAAAGGTCCAGTAAATTCCGACCAGTTACATATATATATATATATATATATATATATATATATATATATATATATATATATATATATATATATATATATATATATATATATATATATCTATATATATTAAGCTGACCTTAAAGAGTAACATTGTGTAAAAACATCTGCTGAAGTTAGTTAACAGTTATGTCACCAACATCAGTCACACTGTCCACCTTAATCCCCTATCCTTGACCAACTAACATTTAAGTGTATGTGTAGGTGAACTCTTCTCGCTGAACGTGCGAGGGGTTGCCAGCAGTATAGCCTCTATGGTCAACTGGACGATTTCCTTCTTTATCACTCTCATATATGAGCCGATGCAGGTACAGTCTCTCTCCCCGTGTCTGTGTTTTATTATGTTTTTGTTTAGTTTTCTCCTTCTATTGACTAATGTACTCATAATGATGATCAGAGATAAGTATATTCTGTAACTGCAATATTTATTGATGAAATAAGATTAAGGAGAACAGAGACCACCACTGACCCTCGATGGTTCCCACAGGTAGCAATCGGGCCCTACGGCATATATTGGTTCTTCGCTGGTTGCTGCTTCATCAACTTTATTTTCTGCATCCTGGTGGTGCCGGAGACGAAGGGTAAGACACTGCAAGAGATTACCGCACACTTCGGAGGTCCAGTCATCACGACTAAAAAGGACATCACCACAATATAGAGTTCAATCAACCTATTAATACACTTATTCAAAATAATTATCCCGTAAGCTTACACTGTTATACATGGGAGAAAATTACTCCTAAATGACAGTTGGTATTGTGATTAAAATGATAAAGATCCAGAAAACATGCTTCTTATTTTTTTTAAGCAATATTTCTTAAGATTTATGGGTGGAAACAACACTTGCCCTATGTCTTAAACGAACCGCTAATGTGATATTATGTGGTAGCAAGATATAGCTCTTAATATCTACTTTTCTGTATAATTTAATGGTTTGAACCAGGAGTGAACCTATCTTGGGGATTCATCCTTATGAAATTTAAAGCCTCACCTGTTCTCAAAACTTTCATTGGTCTAAAGGTTTGAAGATTTTTGTGAATATTAGTAACAGGGTGAGGCGCATTTTTTAAAACTCTTAGGCCCGTCCACAAGATCGAGCAGTGCCCGGCGGGCACACGCTAAATGCCCGTTATCAGGCAAAATTGGCGGGCAAACCAGAAGAGTGCCCGCGCCCTTCGTCGAGAGAAATCATGGTCCGCCTGACTGGTGGTTTGCTGCCGGATATGGAGCGACGACTTTAAGTACTGCAAATGTGATACGTATATGTTCCCAGCTCGGTCCAGATGTCCAGTGTATAACCAAATAAGCTTATGCAATGTACATTATTGGCGTGACAATAAACGGGAGATTGTTTATGTATTATGTAATGAGGACATTCTTGTGTGTTCTTCGTTCCTGCTGCTCTCCTCACTCTAGTCCCATAGCTTCCTGTCTATGCATATCATAATTCTAACATTATTCAATGAATTTTTATGTATTACAAATCTCGCCTGCAAGTAATCTTCCTTGAGCACTTCATACATGGCTTGACAAGTTGCAGGTATGCGAGACAAACTTTGTTTTGATATCCTCGTTCCATACTGAAGTGACGTGTAGGTGCACCCAGTTGAAAGATATATGAGCATTGACTCTAGACGAGCCTCTGCAGATGTACTCTCCCTCATATTGGTATCCTGTTTTTTTATATATATGGTTCCATTTTCCCTAGAAGTTTGTCAAAGGTGTTGGGTCCATTCTCATGTAATTGGTGAAGTCTTGCTCATGTCCATCTTGCAGTTCACGTAAAATCGTGGCATGACCTCACAATACTTATCTTCGACCTAACCACTCTTTGCACCATTCTCTTTTCTGCATTTGGTTCTTCTTTTTGCACATAGCAGCAATTATTATAGTACACAACGCTATGCTCTTTGCTTTAACTGTCCGGCGATTATTTCTGCCGCACCCGCCACTGCCAACCACCTACTAGCTACCGGCGCAAGATTTTGACTGCCGCCAACCACCCCCGTGTGTTCAACAACACACAGGCTTTGCCTGGTAAACGGGCAAAGCCCGCCGGGCACTGCTTGATCGTGTGGACGGGGCTTTATCCTTGCCTGTCAGATAATAGGGTGTGGCAGTGAGGTATTTCACAAGCCAACAGACTATAAAAGAAAACAACTTTATGTAGTACAACTTAGTGTAAATATTTAACATCAGTCGAGGCTCAGGCTGTTACATCGTGCACTACTATTGGAAAAGTATTTGTATTAACAGATAACTATTAAATCTATTAGACATTTATTTTATTAGTTTTTCTAATATACAGTATGTAACTTTATCTGTCTCATGTGGAATACATATTGAAATATGTACTCACCCCTGAAGATGTGAATTACACGAAAGCGCTTAGGAACTTCGTGTTTTCTTCTTTCCTTGTGGTTATCAGCATATACCTGGATCACGCGCACCTACAGTGATTTACTTGCATATATATATATATATATATATATATATATATATACTGTTAATGAATATGATATATTTCTTTGTGTATAAACCTTTGTCCTGCGTGGCAGTGAGAATTGATACTACCCTCAGTGTCAAGACCTGACTGAATTACTCAGAATAGGCAAACTGTACTACAAGCTTTGTCAATAAATTTGTGAAACTCGCTCAGTCGACCGACTCACTAGACTTGAGCCGTGGACCTCCAAACATCACTTCGCTTCTGAGATTTACTTCGTCATTGTAGCCGTAGCACGTGGCTTGTTGTGGGTAGCGTGTTGAACCCGAGGATGAAGGATGTGTGGATGGGATGAAGGGTGTGTGGATAGGAGGTAAGATGTGAGGATGGAATAAAGGGTATGAGGATGGAAGGTAAGGTGTGTGGATGGGATGAATGGTGTGTGGATGGGATGAAGGGTGTGTGGATAGGAGGTAAGGTGTGTGGATGGGATAAAGGGTGTGTGCATGGAAGGATGGGTGTATGGATGAGAGGGAGGGTGTGGGGATGGGAGAGAAACTGTGTGGATATGGGTTTTTTTTTTATTCAGATTGAATCTCTGAGGTGAATGGCTATCTGGCTGAGAGGTGTGTGTGTGTGCTTGCATTTTTAAGATGTGTGCTCATTTACAAGGCTATCAGTTTGCGTGCTACAAAATAATCAATTTTTTGGGATGGTAGAGGAGGGTTGAAGGGAGGACAAAATACGGGGAAGGAGGGAAGCTTGGAGGGAGGGAGGGAGGAAGGGCTGGTTGGTTGGAGGAGGGAGGGATGAATTCAGTAAGTGTGGGAGGCCGGGACGAGTGCTCTTTGCTGAACAGCCGGGCTCAGTCGTCTATTAACGTCGAACGCTGGAGAGTGCTCCACTTACCCCTCAAACCTCATCCATGTCCTCTCTCTAGATCACGTCAGTTATCCTACAGTAAAAGTGAACCGATTATACTAGGGTGAATATCACGAAACTATGACATGTAATGTGTTCTTTAAGCAGCATCAGTGTTTTGCCTAATTTTGCTTCAAGAGAATGATAACACCGTCGTGAGATGTAGTTTAAAAGCATGGTAGTGAACTAATGCCACATTCTTCTTGTTCTTAATTACTTGGATATTCCGATGACCTGTGTTAAAGCGACGCTCTCCACCTCCAAGTCCCGAACAAAACAACACTTACGTTAAATACTGTACGTGTAATAATGAGAAAAATCAAGACTTGAACTCTTGAGAGATTCGTACATTAACATATATAAACTTTTCATAGTTCCTCGGCGTGTGAATATGTTTGGACAAAGTAAGTTAGCTGACTTTACCTAAGTAAGGTACTGTTAGTGTATAATGCCTCTGGATATCGGTGAAATTGGTGTTTTGTCAATAAGAAGTACTATTCAGGAGAGACAAAAGAAAATCTTGTAAATGATAGAAAAAAGAAATTGAACAAGACTTGATAATTTCAGTGTGTAATTGTGGGTGTTCAGGAAGGTGTATATGACATCCATAGATATTTACCTACATATATATAATCGTTCCTTGACAATAACCACTGGAAGCACCTGAGTCCGAAGCAGTGGCGGCTCGTGAAAAAAAAATGGAGGGACTGCAAGCCTCACACCGAGTCCCCACCAAACAATAAGCATGGAATTTCAGAACAGTACAAGCAGGAACAAAGAATATACACGCCAGTTTAACATCAGTGTTTATCAGAAATGTGAATGGCTCTGTGGTTGTGACGAGGCAAATACTTTATTCTGCTTTCCATGCTTATTGTTTGGTGGGGACTCGGTGTGAGGCTTGCAGTCCCTTCATTTGTTTTTTCACGAGCTGCCACCTCCACCATGCTAAGAATGATGATGCAAGAACAGTGGAGCGTACTAGTGAAGTGAGTTACTGACACAGTTATCTCAAGACAACCCAAAATTATGGTTCTTACTGGCGGTAAAATTCAGATTATTATTGGTAATGTACCTAACATTACTGTGTAAGTAATACATATGCTTCTATAATGGAGTGACACACTTTTGTTTGAATCAATTGAAAAAAAAAGGATTTTTATATACAGTACATTCTAAGCAGGGCTGTCATCTGAAAAAAGATGAGTAACTTTAGGTGCACAAAACTGAGCTTTTTACCAACAGCGCGTCCATCTCAACTCAATCTTGCAGTAAGCACTTCGTTTACATGTTCGAGACGATCGTTAAAAAACAGTAGTGTAACATACAGACAAACACACATCACAACATACCACCAAGTAGCTGGTAGGAGCGACGCGCGCTACGAGGAGGATAAACAAACTTGGCCCGCTCTTGTTTACATCATGAAGGCTCCAATTACCCCTGACCACCCCCTCACTGTGCCTCATTCTTGACTCAGTTTTTTTTCAACATGGCCAACAGGATAACCACTGCTTGGTCGTACAAATACTAACATTTGAGACGCTTGTCATTGTTTATATCTGACAATGTTTCAGAAGGTGCGATATTCAATCATATCGAAATAATTCAAGAAAATGTTTGGTCTCTGTAGCTTTTACAAGCAAACCTGAAGACGAAACCTCTTAATTTTCTGGTTTAACTCTACAGGAATAAAGAGCACCGAGGACCTCTCTCACACACACACAGGCGTCATGGGCTTTACTGGGAAATCCACGTCAGAGTTGGTGGAGGTGAAGAACAAACCCTCTTATCTCATGCAGTACTTCGCTGCCATCTCAGGTATAACCACCCCCCTGTGTTTTTAAGGTATCATGTAGATATTTATAAATATGTAAATGTATACATGAAATATTTAATATATTGCATAAATTAAAACTAAGATGTCATTAAACAGTCACCATGGGAGCACTAAGCTTAGGCACCAGCTTGGGGTACACGTCACCCGCCAGCCCCCAGCTCATGGACAACTCCACCAACTCTTCTCTTGTTATCACGACGGAACAAAACAACTGGTTTTCCTCCACTGTAAACCTGGGAGCCCTCACCGGGGGTCTCCTTGGTGGGGTGTGTATCAACACTCTGGGCAGAAGAGGCACCATGTTGGCGTCGGTGTTGCCTTTCTTAGCGTCCTGGGCACTCGTAGGTAAGTCACATCAGAAATAACCAATTATTCCTAACAACAAAATATCGAAGACTAAACACCTGTCCTTTCACTTTGTAATGCCATTCAGCAACTTCTTATTAATCTTTTTTACTCTTCTAGTGTCCTCAGAGATCAATGGTTACTTTGGCTTCTAACAGTCAGTGTTTTCCTGCACTACCTGTTTAACGTGTAAACTGTAGCTGTACTTACAATAATCAAACAAGATAAGTCAAATACG